GGTCTATTCCACCGGGATCAAAAGTCCTCGAAATAGGCTGTGGTCAGGGCGATACAACATTGGTACTTGCTGCACAAGTTGGGGAGAATGGACATGTTGATGCTGTTGACCCTGGGGATCCTGACTATGGTATTGATATGTTATTTCTTTGCTACTCATTATTTTCCTCCCTCCTCTCCCCGTCCCCGCTCTAATATTGTCTCTCCTACCCAGGCGTTGAATGTTGAGAGAAAATGGAATTACATTCTCACCAATCGAAAAACTAACAAACAATAGGCTCACCATGGACACTCTCCCAAGCCCAATCGCAACTGAAATCCGGCCCACTAGGCCACCGCATCACGTTTCACAACGCATTTCCGATTCCCTTTCTCGAATCACTTCTCTCTTCTCACTCTTCTTCCTCGCCCACAATCCAAGACTCAAAACCATACACTCACATCATTCTCTCCCATAGCACCTTTTACTTTTCATCTCCCTCTCTCTTCCCCCAACTAATCTCCTACATTTCCTCCCTATCACTATCACCCCCCCAAACCTCAAACTCCACCCGCACTATCCTTACAAAACAAACCCAAATCTGCATTGCAGAATGGGATCTCAGCGCCCCTTCCCCCACTCAATTTCCCCACCTCCTCGCAATCATGCTGCAAGCCGTCTCAGAAGGCTTCAAAAAAGAAGGAGAAGAAGGAGGTGGAAATGTAAGATGTGTGCGCAGCGCAACGCAGATGCGGAAAGTTATGGGCGAGGAAGGGTGGAGGGTTGAGAGGGAGATGGTGAAGGAGGGACGGGGATTGGAAGATGGGGTTTGGGAGGTGGGGAATGTGGGTAGGTGGAAGGAGGGGGAGTTGAAGAGGGTGGAGGTGCTTAAGGAGAAGGAGGATAGGGAGGGGAAGAGGGGGAATGTGCTGCAGATGATGTATGATGTTTTAGATGCGAGCTTGGGGAATGTAGATGGGGGTGTGAAGGGGGTGGAAGCAATGGGGGTTTGGGTTGCGAGTTTTGTGAGGGAGGATTTGGAAAGTAAGGGGAGAGAAATTTGAGGGGAATTTTAGAGGTGGACGGTTCATGTGAGGACATTAATGCATACGAGTAGAACAGTAAATGAGAAATTGAAGCTAGATGAATACAAGTCCACAAAGGCAGATCTCAGAGCCTCCTTTGTATGTCATCTACTATCATCAGTGATATCGAGAAACCCTTCCCATTCCCCAAAATCCCCAAGCTTCCATTCCCTATTCACACTCTCTAACATCCTTCATTTCCTGTAATTCCTCTCCCCCCACTCTCAACCCATCTCCACCACTCCCCAAACCTCGCCATCTCCACCCTCATCCACAAAAGCATGCTCACATCCCTTTCCCTCTGCATCTCCAACTCCCGCACCCTCTCTTCCAACCCCATAATCTTCTCCTCCAACTGTGCCTTTTCGAGCGTAAGGGTGCCAATGATATCCAATTCCCGTTCTTCTTCTTCTTTTTGCTCACTCACAGATTGATGTTGGTGTTGGGGTTGATCTTGTGTCTGCTTCAGATTTTCTGTTTTCCGCTTGGAAGATTGAGATAGCGAGGCGGATAATACTATATTTGATTTCGATGTTGATCCCGGCTTTGATTTCGTCATCAGTCGATTTGTCAACTGCAGCGTTAACGGAGGTTTGCGAGACTAGATTGTGAAAATAAGTAATCAGAAAAATTCCATACCAATATGAATGAGAATGATACTTCGGGCCATTAATATCCCCGGTACAGAGGACTTTTGAGGCACTATTCCCATTCACATCTAAATTGATGTAACAAGACAAATCTTATGTGGTGAAAATCTACTTTCATATCAAAGCATGATTTGAAACTTGTAAATGTAGCGGGAAAAGAAGTAAATTCTTACCATCTTTCCACTTTGTTCTGGAACCATACTGCGTTAATATGATGCGAGGATCACTTCTTTGCCTCTCTTTTACATTGTCCCTATTTGGCGTTGACTTTACAACCAGATTGATGGTACTAGTGATGATAGTTGAGATATGTAAGACTAGAGGCAACAGAATGCGTGGTACCATAAATTAACCCGGGCCTGAATGGTGATGGACGTCAGATATGGAAAGATTCTGATTTCGTCACAAATAACGAAGGCAGGATCAGATTTAGATATTTTGGTGTCAGCTCTATGAAACATACAACGAAATTTAGAATAAAATGAATCATAGCTCATAATATTGAAGTATCATGAAGTAGAGAAATATCTGTCTAAATACAACAAGCAAGTTTGATGAAAGGCTGATGGCTTTCCAGCCCGGTCTGTAGGCATCTTGCGGAAGAGAACAAAAAAATAACAAACAATACAAAATGAGATCAAAAAAAGTATGCTGACTTCGTATACGCATTACTCATCTCTCATCCATCTCATCCATTCATACTCTCTTATGCGCAAGAGATATTTTTATCCAAGGTCATTCGTACTGTGCACTGCACAATAGATTCTTCTTCTCTTTCTCATAACCCTAACCTGTATCTTTCAAACGCGCATCTACACAACGACCTTTTCCAGTTTTAAATCATTAATGACCATATATCTTGACATTCCAATCCAGCCCCATCTGAACCACCTCATCTGACTCTTGTGTGCTGTTGTCATGGCCTTTTGTGCAGTTCTGAGTTGTCCCACCCCGCTCATCATTAACAAAGGACTTGGATGATCGCCTTTCTCTCGCTTCGAAAATGCCGCAATTGCCATAGTATTCAAGGTATCGAAAATAGACGTGTACTTTCGGAAAATTGAGACACTGGTAAGTGTATAAAGATCAATAGGACATTGCCATCCTGGACGATCCCGCATCATGGATGCGATCAAGGCTCGAGAGCCGTGGTACAAGGAAATATGATTTGGGTGCGAAGAAATTCCCTGCGCATCAAAAGTTACAATAACATCGATAGATGCAGTTGGAGCAGTTGTAAGATCTGTTTTTCTTGTGTGAGGAGGGCAAAAGGCAGATGCCAAAAGGTTGGCGATCTTTTCTTTATCCCAGATCTTCGTCATACTATCCGGGAAATCTCTGTTTAAGAAACGCGATCAGTATAACTAGTACTTATGCGACGAGATTCGAGGAAGACATACGGACTCGTGAAGACGAAAACATCATTCTCTTGTCGCAAACCCAACTGCATCCCACTCTTAACAAGTTCCTTCTTCCTAGTTTCTCCTAATCCATCTGCATCACCTACTGCACATCAATATATGCTCAACTCGATATCATGCACCTTACGTACCACTACTCAAACAGAGAATTTTAACATGGTTTCCAAGTTCCGGATCCGTAAGAGCCTGCATTGCTGGCGCAAAAAACATAGCTTCATCATCAGGATGCGCGATCAATAGACATATCTTCTTGTTACGAAGTTTTGGAAATTTCGAGTTAACAACTGTGACGCTATACTGCCATGCAGCGAAAGTGATGATGGGGATGGTAAGGAAATAGGTCCATTGCATTTTGGGCATTTCAAAGGTATTAATGGGGAACCTTTGTTAGAGATTCGGAGTGTACGTTGAAATGATGCGACGACAAGTATGAAATGGTGTGGATATGAGAGAATAGTTGCAGATCGAGTATGTTTAGGATTTGGGAGGGGTTCGTGAATAGAAACGAGTGGAAATGACCGGTTTGTCGGTCAAGAAATATATGGGTCCTTGAGCCTTGCGCTAAGGGATAAATCGAGGTTCACTGCAAGGGATCGGATCAAATATTGACCAATGTCATCCAAAACTACATGGTTTAGATATGCACGAGATGGAATTCATCGCTCTTGCATGAACACGACCTAATCAAGTATTCGACAGCCTTTCGTCTCATGTCTTGAAAATCGTCAGCCTTGGTTACTCGGTATACGTGTTTGGGTACTCGCATCCATTTCCCACTACCTCCGAACAACAAGGCTCGCAGGGAATCAGCAAGCATTTAGACTCTTTTTGAAAGCCGCAAGACATTCCTCCCTATACAATCACTCGTTCCGAGACAGCAGACATCATGCCAGGCAAAGAACGGAAATTGAAGCTCAAAAGGCCAGATAGATCTGGCCCTGATCCTTCCATCGAAACTCTTCTCGATATCGCAGAAAAACGAAATTTAAGTGAAGCTCAACGACAGCGTCAAGCAGAATTAGATGGGGAAAATGATGAGATCTTAATCGGAAGACTCGGGGATTCCATTCTATGGACAATCAGTCTTACAATGTTACATTTCACTCTGGATGTATTGGTTACACATCAATATGCCGAAGAAATCGTCTGGAAGGACATCGTTTCTAGGACCCTCCAAGCATGTCCTGGTAAGCCTTAAATTATATTTAGAAGTTACAGAATATTTGCTGATTTCAACAGTCATCTGGCTTCTCTTTTACGCCTTCCATCCACATCCCGAACCGTCGAATTTATTACCTCAAATACCTGCCAAGGCGCATCCTTATGTACACGAAATCTTTTTCTCCGCTGCTAGTATAACAGCTGGATGTTATCTAATACATCTTACAAATGAATATGGTCATTTTGCCACAATGAAACAGGCTCCACCAGTAGGGACTATCTGGATTTGGGCGGTGATCGAGTTGAACATCTTATGGGCAGTACCTAGTGTTGCATTTTGTGCTATATATCTGAAGGTCAAGGGGTATGCATTCCTTTGATCGTCAAGGAATGAGATTTTGGGCAGTATTTAGGAGAGGGCCTGTGCTGGAACTGGGAGGATCCATCTGATGCAGGTGCCCATCGACCCCTCGCCAGCGCCAACTACGGATTGTGTTCTGGCAGGTGCTCTTCATTCAACGCCAATTACAAAGTGTCCAAATTCACTGGATAAAGTCGTGCATCGTTCGCTGGTGCAGGTGCTTAGGTGGGCCAAACGGAGAGAGCAGTCAAGGGAGCAGCTAGTGGTCCAAGTCTATGAAGCGGAAGCGAGAAAAGAGTAGTCATGTTTCCTCGACTGAGTTTACCGGTATAACTGAACTACGCTAGACAGCCGTCAACTCTGGGGTTCGAAAATGTTCAAGGTCGTAGGTCTCTGCTTTCGGTAACGGGGTAGTCGTTCCAGTCGCGACTGGAGTTTCGGACTGAGAATCGTCGGTTCCAAAAGTATCATTTCTTTGAGCTTCCCAAGGTCGAACGCCCTCAGACTCAATTCGATCACGATGCATCAATCGATATACTAAAGACTCTAGTCGATCTAGCTTCTCATGTTGAGAATGAACTGTACTTTCCAGTCGGTCAAGTCTTTCGTGGTCTAATTCCTTTTGCTTCTTTGCTTGTGATTCTTGGTCTCGAACTCGTCTAATTTAGTCAGTTTCGAGCCCCGAAACCATGGGGTACCATACTTACGATGACATCATACTCATCTGTGCAAATAAAACTCTAGCTCCTAATGCGTCTCTTTGCCTAACTAATTCCAAAGCTTTCCTCCTCACAGGTAGCCACGACATGGCTACACTCGTTCTAAATGCCATGCTTCTCGGTACCAAGGCCCATTTTTTCCCTTGATCGTCCTCGGGACTAGCCTTCAATTCGGCTTCTGTTTCCAATTCTAGTAATCTCTCCTCAAGTTTTCCAAGTTCCTCCATCACAGAGACATACATCTGATATTCCTTTTCATGTCCGAAACGATCTTTTGGGCCATCAGATGCATAAACCAAATCATGAAGCCACTGTGATTCAGTTTTATGCCACGAAAGAGATGCTTTGACTTGGAAGTATTCGTTATCAGCATTGCGTAAGTAGGTGAATCGAACGTATACTGCTGCTGCAATAGCGGCTACAAAGGTTAATATTCCTGCGACGCTTGATGTTATAGAGAGAGGACTGTCTTGACTAGCCATTTCGCTCGGAACTAGAATTCTTCTTCAAGATCTTGAGTATTCAAGGCAAATAAAATGAAGTCAAGAATCAATCATCCATCTTTTCATGACATTCAATAACCCAAACAAGTGTCTCCATATCAATATTGGCTGCGGTTTGTTCACAATGTGATAGATAAGGCTTCCAAGGTTATGTCAAACATTTGGTTGTTTTCTCTGCTCAGCCACAGTTCATGCAAGGCTAAGAGATATCATACTTGATTTCTACGCTAGTCCTCTTTTGGCTTTACCCCAGACCTGATCAGCGCTTGTGCCAATAATCGTAGGCCGCGCGATCCCCGCTCCATTCACTCCACTCTTGTTATGTCGCGTGGAGATTCACGGGGCATGATTGATTTCATTGAATGCCAAATTATTTTTGAGCGGTGTACTCGGTAGTATTCATCATCTCTCTTTCTGATTCTTCTTGCCATGTATATATTGCCCTACTGTGTTCTTCCACGTACATAATTTGTTGCGTTGTTTGATTTATCTTAGCGCTCTTCTATCATGGTCGTCGTATCCGATTTCGAAGGAGGAAAGGAGGTGAGTTGAAAATATACCCGCGTTCCGGTCCGTCAACGATCTAACAACGTGTCGCAGAGAGTTGAAGAAGTAGACTATATTACTGTGGAAGAAAATGCCGCAGATACCAAAGCATTGGTTTGGAAGCAAGATCTAAGGATTGTACCTTTATGTGCTGGTATTTACTTGTTGTGTTACCTTGATCGTTCCAACATTGGTCAGTCCTACTTCTTGTCGGCCTCACGTCGTGTGTTTGGAGCTGATAGAAAATAGGCAATGCCAAAACGCTCAATTCTTCTACTCATGATGATCTCCTTTCCGATACACACATGACCAATTTTCAATATATGTATGTGTGGACCTTGTTCCTGGGTTTGGTGATTCCTAACGCATTACAGCATTGCATTGATGGTCTTTTTGATTGCCTATGCGATTTTCGAAGTACCATCGAATTACTTCCTCAAGAAACTCAGTCCAAGCAAATGGATTTCTTTCTTAATGTTCTCGTGGGGCATCATGACAATTGGACTTGGATTTACTCATAACTTCGCTGGTGTTACAGCTGTGAGATTCCTTCTCGGAATGTTCGAAGCTGGTACATACTTTCTAATATTCTTCTCCGGCAGTAATTAACATCGCAATAGGACTTTTCCCAGGTCTAGTCTACTATCTGACTTTCTGGTACCGTACATCTGAACGCTCAATTCGTGTCGCATTTATTCTAGCCTCCGCGACTCTCGCAGGAGCATTTGGTGGCGCTATCGCTTTTGGAGTCGGTCACATGAATGGCACCCACGGAATGTCAGCTTGGAGATGGTTATTCGTTATTGAAGGGATTCCTTCCTGCCTATCATCCATTCTTGTGTTTTTCTATCTGCCAGATTATCCAGAAACGGTAAAATGGCTATCAAAGGATGAGAAAGATTTAGCCACAAGAAGACTTGCGACAGAGGGAGCTAAAGGAGGCGATAAAGGATTGACGTGGCAAGAAGCCAAGGAAACTCTTTGTACCTGGAGATTATATGCTCATTATGCAGTGAGCATTAAACATCATCATAATGCTCTATGACACGCTGACCCAAAGTTTAAGATCTATTTCGGTATTTCAACGCCTTTCTCGAGTTTGTCCTTATTCACACCAAGTATTACCGCTGGACTTGGGTACAAGAACCTCGAAGCTCAACTCATGACAGTCCCACCATATGCTGTTGCTTGTACGTTTACTTCCTCTCCCCTAATTTAATCAGTCTTAACCCTTTAAAGATGTTGTAACAATCCTCGTATCCTGGTCTGCCGATCACTTCAACGCGTAAGCTGAATCCCTTCTTCTCTCCTCCCAATTATCTAATCTCCCTCAGTCGCGCCCTACATTCCTCGATAATGGCCCTCGTTGGCGCCATCGGCTTCACCGCCTCCGCTCTCCTGCCCCCTACTTCCTATAACTCCCGTTATGGTTGTCTCATCATCGCCGCCTCGGGAGCCTTCTCCTGTATCCCTCCTCTTCTCGGTTTCCTCTCTTCAAATATCTTCTCAACAGCCGGTATTGGACTTGCTATTGCGTTAAATATATCAGTAGGAGCGCCGGGACAAATAGCAGGTGTCTGGATATACAAGTCGAATCAAGCGAAAGAGGGCTTTCCGTTGGGTCATTGGGTGAATGCTGGTTTGTTGTATTTTGTGTGTGTAGGATGTGTTGGATTGAGGTTTTATTATGGTTGGAGGAACAAGAAAGTCGGGGAGGGAATGAGGAGGTTTGCTTTTTGAGAAGCGGGTTCAATATTGTTGAATCCTTGAGCGTTATGAATTTTGGTTAGAATTTGATGAGGGATGAGTATGGGCTGCAGGATCCAGAAGCTTAGGCTCACCAGTGGGTGCACGTATTGACGTGCCACTTCTCAACTTTTGAAATTTTTAACAAATTCATTCTTTAATTGTTTGATATCAAAATTCACATTCTGATTGTCCCATCTCTATGAATAATAACTGTAGCAATTCCTAAGATATACGAATTTATATATTAACAAGGGATATTGACAAGTCAATTTTTTGTTAGTGTCCCCCCAGTCCATGCGTGGGTGGCTTCTTCTACGTGAATATTACTTGGAATCCCCAGACGAAAACGAGTATCCATTAAGATTGATTTCCGCATCACTTGTAATATTGCTTTATCCAAATGAAATCTAAAGTATCTGCAAACTTCCAAGTTCCTTAAATCTCAAGCATTTGTTCTTAATATCACATGATTGTGACTCACGTGTTTGTCTCGTCACGACTTCATAATTTCCATCTCAAAGCCTCGACCCCCCATTTCCATCGAGCAACCATGAAAGGCTGAAGAATTCCAATACAATCATATCGAGAATCTCACAATATCATAGATTGCATCTTAATCGCCACTCGTCGCAAAATATAAACGGAGACAAAACCATCCACTTAAAATAATTTCTTGCCCCAAGATTTACAAATCGAGTTGAGGGAAGAAGACGAAGCGAATAAATACAACAGGATAGGAGATCGTAATTCTATTAGAGACTGTCTGTCTTCAGTCCATCTATTTATCTTTCCAGACGATAAGGCTACACCAAGTTTCGGAACATAGCCCCAAAACATCTTTACTGTCAATATTTTTCCCCTAAAATGGACCCACCAAATGCTACCCGCGGACGCGGAAGAGGAAGAGGCTATGGAAGAGGCCGTGGCAATAACGATAGAGCACCACGCTCCCATACCAACTATTCTCCAGTCCCACGCATAGCGCTCCTGCAACCCGGAACACCGGTATCGATTGTTTTGAAAATGGATCAGGGGAGTGGGAGGGAAGTGAAGGGGTTTGTGGGAGAGCTTTTGACTAGGGGGGATCACCCGAGAGGAGTGAAGGTGAGGCTGAGGGATGGACGGGTGGGGAGGGTGCAGAGGTTGTGTACGGAGGGGGAGGCGGAGGAGGGGGATGGGGGAATGAGGGGGTTGGGGAGGAATGGGGAAGTGGGTGGAGGTGAGGGTGAGAGGAGTGGTGATATGAATGAGAGGACAGGAGGCATGAGGAGAGGAGGAGGTAGGGGTGGCAAAACGTATTCGGATTTTAGGACAGATGGATATGATGAATCTTCCGCGGCGAGCGCTGGTGCGGGGGCTAGTTTGGAAGATTATATTGTTGTGAAAGGGAATCGCAAGGGAAAGAAAAGTACAGCTGAAGAAAACAAAATTAGTGAGGGAGGCACCATGGAGCCAGAGGAAAACGGTAAAAATGACGAGGAAGTGTTAGAGGAAAGATCAACAGGGGATGTGTTCAAAACCGCAATGAGTACATGTCCGGTTTGTGGAGTGTTTGAGGGCGATGAAATGGCGGTCGCGCATCATGTTAATGGTCATTTTGAATAATTTTGGGGGATATGTTTCGGAGCGTAGCGAAAGAAACTTATGCGTCGGATTTTACGGACTTTTTATATGGCGTAATATACATTATACTTTCTATACCCAGGAATTCAATTTGTATATAGTCATATGATCTGTATATAGTATAGTATCTTTTATTACGGGTTTAATAAAGAATTAAAAGAATAAAGAATAAGGCTTATCTTTAATTCTTTAATATTAAAGACTTATTAATAACTTACTAAAAGCTTATTATCATTATTATTATTATTATTTTAAAAAGGAATTATAAGAATTATAAGAATTATAAGAATTATAAGAATTATAAGAATAATAAGAATAATAAGAATTATAAGAATTATAAGAATTATAAGAATTATAAGAATTATAAGAATTATAAGAATAATAAGAATTATAAGAATTATAAGAATTATAAGAATTATAAGAATTATAAGAATTATAAGAATTATAAGAATTATAAAAATTATAAGAATAATAAGAATAATAAGAATTATAAGAATTATAAGAATAATATTAGGCGCTCCGAAACACTGGCGAGCTAGCTCGCCCCGAAATCAAAATGATTAAATAGTAACAAGGGTATGGAAGGGATTCGAATTCTAGCTCTCACAATGAAGGGTCAATTGGGTAGCTACTTTCCCTAGTTCATTCCAAAAGATTAGTGTAGCAAAGGGAATGATAAACCCTTTTGTAGTTATAGTAGAGAGGAAAAAATTGATAGAAGTGTTTCTTTCTCAATTATACCTCTTTCTATACCTACTTCATTACATTGTTTTTACCGCCATTTCTGGCTTTGATCCACCTGAAATTCTCATGTTGTTTGGATGATTCAACACAACAACATGTCAGGTGTAGGTTTTTATCAAACATCTCATGTAAGATTGCAATGTGGTACTCTCAGTCACTCCCTTGAAAGAGAGACCGTTTGATACACAAACCTACTGTCAATCACATTTTATTATGCATGGAAATCCAGGAAAAATCTCCAAAAAAAGATCCTTCATCTCAGAATTGTACTCATCTTTGTCCTCAGTTCTTCTAGCAATCTTAGCCTTTGATTGCTATCCTTATGTTTCCAACAAATAACAATCAACTCATCAACCTATTAAACCATTCCTTTTCCTCCCCCTCCAAATCCTACATCAGCAATTTCGAAACAATTTTCTCTCAGTTCCTCTCATTCATCCGTCCCCAAGCGGACAATTGCCATCACAATGCCACGCAAAAATCTAGCCGTTAAACCCAAGTCTGAACACCAATCGAATTCGCCAGCTGAGCCAGAACCCGAAGCGCAACTCCGCGAAAGTCAAATAAGCACACAATCACAATCTGATTCCTACGAAGAAGATTTGGGACCTGAAGCCCAGCTCCGAGAAAGCCAAATAAGCACCCAGTCGTATTCTGATTCCGATGCAGTGGGACCAGAACCTAGAGTGAAGTCTCCAGTCGCCTTAATCGAAGAGTCCCATGATTTGCTAGAGAACCAAGAACCAACTTTGTCTACTTATGTTTCACCCCAGGAGTTAGCACATCAGACCAAAATCGATGAGATAGAAGCTGAATGGGAACGCGCGCCGGCCTCAAGTGATCAAGCTGCCCAGAATTATGGGCCGAGACAAGAGTCATCGCTTGCTACTGAAATCCAAACATCGAGATCAGGCGCCCAGATGGAATTGGACGTCGAAGATGAACCTCTACATGTGTCAAGTAATGAGGTGTCTCAAAACCTCTTTCAGTATCCCCCTATGCATCTATCCCAGAACCAAGCTGTTCGAAGTGAGAAGTCAGATTCCGATGCTCTCGACGAAGGGGGAGAGCTTCAAGAAATCGCCAGGAAAGAGCTATTGCGAGATTTAAGTCAGAGGTATTATCGCATCGTTAATCCAAGCATGAAGCCCCCTGGTCAATTCGACCCCGAACCTGCGTCGCAAAATCTCCACTCCAACACAAAGAGTCGACCCAAAAGCGCTGCACTCCTGTCTCCAGCGCCAAAATACCAGAAGGTGGAAACTACCGAGATGGTTCGTTCAGAAACTACGAGAATAACGAGAGGCTTCCAGCAAGAAAAGACACGCATCGAGACGGTATTGAAGAGGGATCCTGACATACACACTTTGCGCGAAAAGGAAGAAAAGTTAGAGGATCATGAGACGATGCTGAGTAATCTCATTGATGATTTGACGATAGAGCTGAAGAAGACAAGGGGTGAGTTAAAGAAGATTAGTAGAAGCTACAGAAAAGCCTTGGTAGATTCTGAAAAGGCGTCGGACTGATGGGCTGAGAAGGGTGGGTTGATGGAGGAAAAGAAATTGTTGAGGAATTTCGAGCTGGTGCGCTGGCACAGTGCATTTTTATGTCTCATAGAGGGAAGACTTTCACCCCAAATTGCAAGTAGGTACTTGAATGAATAGCTAAATCAAAGGCAGTCATTTGTAGCCTTTTATTTTGTGAGTCCCATTTTATGATCCATCCTCCATTTGAAAAGCCCAAAATTGAGACGAGCCAAGAGTCCTAGTTTCCGGAATCCATGCCCCCCTCTCCCTCAACACCATTCACGACCTATGCCAAATTGACAACTCCAGTCCCTTCCCAAGTACTAACCCATCCAGCAAGTGGACATAACAAATCAGCCATTCCCCAAAGAGGCGACCACCAATAATTGAAGAAATAAACCGTCCCATTTGAATTCAATCCCGTGATTGTCGTTAGAATGAATGAGAAAGTGTATACGACGAGGAGAAACGCTATGATCATATCGAAATGTTGTCTTGTCGCTCTGTTTGCCGATTCATTAATTTAGGCACAGCAAAATGGAATGTAAGATTACAGAGTCCAGACTCAAATTGGATATACAAATATATACCTCCTCCCATAAACCCACCTCTCTCCTCTCATGATATCCAACCACCAAAATCCAATACACACAAACCAAAAATTAAACAAGGCACTCAAAATTCCCCAGAGAATCCACAAGCTTCCCCATCCCCTAATATAAAATAGATTCAACGGGATATGGAGTAATATTCCAGTCACGCAAATAATTTTTCGAATGGTATTTTCACGATCATTGTACCTCCATTGAGTAAGCCATTGAGTGAAGGTCGATCCATCAGGAGAATAGGCGGAAATACTAGGTAGACCGATTCCTGCGCCGAAGGAAATACGATCGTGGTTGGTACCCGATTGACTGAACGTGAGGAGAAAAGGAAAAGGCATTTCGAGATGAGAGATCTCGATTGAGAATTTGAGAGTGCAGAGCAAGCAGAAAGAAAAGGAAAACGCAGAAGGATGAGATGGGATGAGATATTTGACCTCAATGCCGTAGGATGGGATGGATGCAGGGGTCAAACTGTACAGCCTCGTTGCCTACACTGTGGTCATCTCAACCCATGCTTCTCAACGGCGAAGCCTATTGTTCCTATTCGATTGCTAGTGAGTGAAACGCTGTTGTCTGTAGTCTTTGATGAATCGAATCACATGTGAGGTTTGTGGATGTTTTATATGCATGTAATCTTACTATAAGTTTAAGTGATAGTAGCGTGTCCTTGATGGCATAAAAACTAATAGACATTATAAAGAAAATCAAACTGAAAAAATAATTATTAATGAAATATAAGAAAAGGTAAAGAAGAAGCTTTTGATTTATATATAGAAAATAAAAAAATGAAAAGATTTAAAAGATTTAAAAGATTTAAAAGATTTAAAAGATTTAAAAGATTTAAAAGATTTAAAAGATTTAAAAGATTTAAAAGATTTAAAAGATTTAAAAGATTTAAAAGATTTAAAAGATTTATTTGTAAATATAAAATCAGATATATTATATATAAATTGTCAATCAATTCGAAATGTTAACATTATAATAGTATTATACTAAGATTTATATAAGTCAATTGGAAAATGAAGGGGAAATATAGGACCAGCCCTAGCGCCTTCGGGAAAAAATGCTGACACATCCACACTACAACCATGGACAACAACAAATAAGAAATATGATAACCATCACGATATTGTTATCCCCCTGAAATGGCAGAAAACATCCACGATGCAACCTTGCCAGCAGCTCTAACAATTCCATTTGAAGATCTGCGTTCCCCTGAATAATTCTGATCTGGGAGATTCCCTAAAGAATAAGAAGACGAATTCCGCCTATATCTACGCCCTTCCCGTTGTCTTTCAGGGTGATATCCTTCAGTTGCTCCTCTTTCTCTGTCCCATGGTCTCCCATGATGATATCTCTGTTGTAGCTCTCTGTCCATATGGTATGATCTATCCAGATCCTGAGGGATTCGATTCGGCCCTCTGTACTCTCCCATGGTTGGTCTCCCCATTCTCCAGGCCTCCCCTCCGCTTCCATAACCCAATCTCGATCGATGTGCTCTTTTCATGATGTTATAGTGGTTAAAAATATCACTGTCTTCGGGATTTCCAGAATAGTAAGCTGTATCCGAGTGAGGGGAACGAGATAATCCCATGGGGACTGGTATGGAGTTTCGAACAGAAGAGCCATATTGGGCAGAATTCGATGGGATATACCTGGACTCACAACATGAACAGGAAGACCCTGATAAATGTCGTATAGCCTGATCTGGTGCCTCCTCCTCATCTAAGTCGTCTGAGTAGTCACCAGAAAGGTAGCTGGGTTGAGGAGACGGTGATCTTCCTCTGAGAAGAGTCCTTGAAATTTGACATTCTCGCTCGGAACCTAAATGGCTTTCGACTTCTGATTCGGAATCAGAATCAGTGTAAGAAATGACTGATGATGAGGTTTCGTCATCTGAAAAGTCATCTTCGGATCTGTATCGCCTGTAGCTTCTCATTGCGCGCCGGAGTATATGAACAAGAAATTGTGACTGGAGATATTCAAGAGGTATTGCGAATGCTTGATTCTGAAGACTGATTCTTTTAGAAGGACTCTCGGGGTATTTATAAGAAAATAATTCTGATCTCGGCGAGAGAGATATACCTAGGTAGTCGCACCGCAAATCTAGATGCTCACATCGGAGCCTCGTCGATGTTTCGATTTCATCAGCAATAAATTCAACCTCTTTTGTCTGGACCGGCATACGTAGGCTTGAAACCACACACATTAAAATATAACTAATTTCTTACTGTGGTAGATCTACATTTTATTGTTCCTTCTATTGGTTGTCGATTCTTGCTGAGGTCGACTGAAGCGCCGCACATGGGGGCCGCATCGGTGAATCTTACCCCCTCACCACGCGTAATAGCAAAACTGGCAATTAAATCCGCTTTATGAGGCTCAAACTCAAATCCGCGGTTATTCTTGTGCTTCGTTACGCTCCCCCTCCACCATTTCTCCCAAGTCCGTGTTTTGGGTATTTTTGCGCGCTGACTGCATTTTGGTCGGCGTTTTGGTCTTAACTTTGTTTTGAAAGCTTGTTTGCCTATCAGAAACCGATCAGATGCCAAAAGCCAATTGCGAATTTGCATTGAGTTTTCGAATAGCGCGAAGTCCGCCAAAATGTTACAATTTATATATATCTAGAATGGACAATCAACATGTGAGCATTTCGCTAATCGCAATGATTCGGCCAAACACGCAACGTCAAGTCATTCGCTTCTGCAGAAGCGCTCGTTGTTGAGATTGAAACTGAGTGTATCAGGATTGAGTTCATGGCCTGTCACCCAATACCTTCGTCGTAGCTGGTATGTGATCTTGCAATAGATCACTCCTACCTTCGGGGTGTGTGAGAACAATCATTTACGATCCCGAATTCTTACAGAGCCTCCTCTTACTAGGGCTTTTCACTTACAAATATCGCCATCTTCTCTTCTAGCTTCTCTATATCACTTCTTGAAACTTCTATTCAGTGTTGAATGAGCAGGACTCGTTTTCAATTCCCATACACACTCTTTTCTTATCAATCATGTCAAACCAAACTTCCTTCTCGAATAATACTTTCAGTTCCAACAGTAGCTTGTCGATGCCTCAAATTTGTATCATAGATGGTAACTCCGATATTTATGGTCTCGGTATTCGCATCGGTTTCTACCTCCAATGGTATGCCTCAATTCTTGCATCTGCTCCCAGAGGTTATTCAGGAAAAGTTGCTTCGGACGAAGTTCAAGGCCTCATGTTTTCGATTGTTCTCTTCACCGTTGCGACTTTCCTGGCTCTGATCATTCAAACCTCGACGTTACAACTGCCTGAAGTTTATATTATTCTACTCTTAGTAGTAGGCTATCATTATTACTTCATACCTAAGATGTTTATGGCACTCCTCAGCTTTATCAAACAGCTTCTCAGCAAAGGGGAAAAAGACGAGACAGGGCAAAAGAAGCACCGTGGATGGGAATTTATTCTTCTAGCTGGTTTATTCTTCTGTGCCATTTCTTGTTTCCAACTATGGTTCTGGGGTGGACACTTTCAGGATCGCAACGGAAAGTCTAACACTTGTCCTAGTTTTGGATTTGGGTTCATAAAGATTGATCTTGAGAATACCGCATTTCGTGCTTTCAACATTACATATTGGGTTTTGTTGTTGATATTGTCTTTTGGGTTTATAATGCATGCTTGTGATTTGTACATCCAAAAGAGAAAAGCGCCAAAGAGTAATTTCAGCTCGTCATCTTCAAGGTATGTCTTACCCCTTTGTTTGTTTCAATTTGAATGAACACAATTTCCTAACAATACAGTAGCTTGAAATCCGGTGCTAGCAGCACTAGATCATCGAAGGAGCCAAATTCGAAATTCGATTCCATACGGTTTGGAATTCTTTTCATTTTTATGACGGTTATGGTTATTGCTATTGAAAAAAGCATAATGTGGAATCAAATTACCGGAGTGACGACATTAGCTGGGGCCGGACAGTTGATACCTTTTCTCATTGGACTGGGATCGTTATTTAGGGTTTGTTATGTTGGAGTGAAAGGTGATGACCGTCGAGAGGAGTCATGATTATCCGGAAAATGATGATGCATATCGGTGTTGATGAATGTTTGGTCGGATATTCTTAACTGTAGCTACAGCATGCCCCGGGTGGGAAACTGGAAGTAGTCTTGTCTCTATAACTTACAAGATTCATAAGAAAATAGTCGTTTTTCAAACTGCTAAGTATATGATTCTCTACTATACATAACAACTGACTTACGGCTGAAACTCTCTACTTCGTTCTTGATAGGATTCATCCCTCTTATTATTTACTCTAGTATGTAGTTCCTTGTTCTCTTATGATAGAGCGACACAGTAATTCAATGAATAGATATCATCTCCTTTATCTACGAACGCAACGTCTCGCGCTCTAGTAGAATCTATATACGCAACATCTAGGATTCAATCTACAATCTGTTCAAATTGATCGCCACAGATGATGCTCATGCCATGTTTACCCCAGAAAGTTCGAGTACTTAGCCCTTAGACTTTCAACTATATGTTTGCTTCCAGGTCTCAAGCTAATTTGATATACCCTCCTGTAACTCGTACCGACTACCTATCGATATTGCCAACTTCTTCATCAAGTTGAATTTCCTATTATTCTCTTGGAAAGCATATTCGGATAGTGCTTTGCGAGGACTTCATCATATATATCTAGCCGAAAGTAAGTAAAATACCTGTCATTGCATCGTAGACTTCACACTGAAGATTTCTAACTTCCTACAGATCTAGAAATGGAAGGATGGGCTGGAATGGAATGTGACGTCTGCCTACCTACTCAGTAATCATATCGCTTACATAATCCACACGAAATTAAAAGGTCCAAGCTCAAGGTCAAATCAATCTTGGAAACTTCAAGCTTCTTCAGTGGAAATTTCCTTCATTAATAAATTCTCCATACAATCAGTATTTACATCAAGACGCTTTCAAAGCTTTTTTGTAATTTCATGAACATCTGATCGTTTTCTTGAAACCTCAACGAAATTTCTTCATATCGCACGCCACAAAGAGGAGGTATAGCAATAGAAATAAATTGTTTCGACGCCTTGTTTGAAAAGAGGTTCAATACCCGCGTTTGGTGAGCTGCAGAAGCTCAAGGAAAGAGATAGGCCACCGATATCCGGACACTTCTTGATATAAATCCCTACCTATCTACACTTGGTTTCCTCCTATTCTTCGCTCATTGTATCAAACAAATACAACACCACAAATATGTCTTATCGCGTTGGTATGTAATTTCTCTTTCGTTTGCGTCCCAATTTCCAACTTCTTGTCTTCACGTGACAACGCGTTTTATGCTCCACGGCGAGAGAGGATCGATCATCTTTCTTAATGGACGGATTTGAATATTGGTCACTGACTTTTACAGAACTCGCAACTACTGCGCGGGCCGGATGTCAAAATAAGGAATGTAAAGATAATGGTGTCAAGATTCAGAAAAATGAATTAAGACTTGGTACTTGGGTTGAGATTCAAGAACATGGAGGTTGGCAGTGGAAACATTGGTATGTTTTTCTTCTTTTATCGTATTGGATGAAGTGAAGTTCATTGAGATGTTGTTTTCACACAACTATGATCTACAACTCTAATCTACTCGTACAATCTATTTCTAATGCAAAATTAGGGGATGTGTCACTGGAAAGCAACTTGAGAATATGAGAAATTATCTTGAAGATGGTAAGGGTGGCTATATGTTTGACAAGATGGATGGCTACAATGATGGTGGGAAGGGTAGTTTAGATGATCATCCTGAAATGCAGGAGAAGGTCAGACGAGTTGTGGTTCAAGGATTCATTGATCCTGAAGATTGGAAAGGTGTAAGTATTTTGGATCATTTTCACTTGGATTCCTTTCTCTTTTCTCCCGTAACACTCAACACTAGGAAAAACTAACCAAAAGTAGGACCCTGAAATGAATATCCTTGGTCAAACAGGAACTCGTACCTCCGAATCAAAGAAAAAGATCAAGGAGCAAAAGTCGGCTGAAATGGGTGATCTCACGGAACTCCAAGCCAAGTGGGATGAAGCCGAACAGGAAAAGCAGCAACTCATTGACGATGGAAAGGCGAATGGTATGAAAGTTAAGGCTCTCAATAAGAAGATTGCAGAATATGCAAAGGAAATGACAGCTCGTCGAAAGGAAGAGGAGAAAGAAAAAGCAGAAAGAGAAAGAAATGCTGTTAAATCGGAGAAAGCTAATACACCAAAGAAGAGAAGTAGAGTGAAGAAAGAACTTGACGAAGAGGGAGAAGAGGATGAAAAGCCAGCAAAGAAGATGAGAGGTGGAAAGGTCAAGAAAGAAGAGGAATCTGAGGAGGAAGTCATGCCCGTTAAAAAAGCTCGTGGAAGAAAGGCTGCAGTTAAGAAGGAAGAAGACATCGAAGAAGATAAAGAGGATGTCAAGCCAGCTCCTGTCAAAAAGTCCAGAGGAAAGGCATCCGCTGTCAAAAAGGAAGAGATTTCCGAAGACGAGGAGGACACGAAACCAGTCCTTGCCAAGACTTCCAAGGGAAAAGCTCCTGCTGTCAAGAAGGAGGAAGATATCGAAGATGAGGAAGATACAAAACCCGCCCCGCCTAGGAATTCTCGCGCCAAGAAACCAGTCGTTAAAAAAGAGGTCAAGGAAGAGAATTCTGAAGATGAAGAAGATACCAAACCAGTCCCTGTCAAAAATTCTCGAGCCAAAAAGCCAGTCGTCAAAAAGGAAGTCAAGGCAGAAGATGATGACGAGAATGAGATCTTGACCAAGACCAAACCAGCTCCAGTCGCGAAGAAAGGTGGCAGACAGTCAAAGAAAGTTAAGGAGGAAGCCGCATCGGTAACCCCAGAATTGGCATCTGATAATGAGACTTTGAAGGATCCAAAGTTTGAAGCCGAAGATGAAGAGATGAAGGAAGAGAATGAGGAAGAAGAGGAAGTTAAGCCTATTGTCAAGAAGAGCAGAGGGTAAGTTTCCTAATCTTTTTTCTTTTCTCTTCATTTATTTTTTTATTTTTTTGGATCATGTCGGAAATTGACGAATGTATGTATGTGATATTAAGACATAAAGTAGACGGCCCACCAGGAAGACAAGAGCTTGATCCACGCACCATGGATTTACTAGCTACCATCCAACAATACCCAAACGGCATATATACGAGTAGCGGTCGTGGTCTCACTGGTAGACAGTTGCGTCTTATGGCTGCAATTCTCAGGGGCGGGACTTATCGGCCGGGAAAATATAGTATGTAGACTGGTGGGTGAGGGAATAAAATGGAGTGGATGGCATATAGTATTATGATTAATTTTGGGGAATTTTGAGGGATTGAAGGGTTGAGAGATAGAGGTTCGAGTTATTGACTTACTTACTTGTGCTTTGCTTGCTTGCTTACGAAAGAGAGGTTTCTTGCTACAATTATAGATGGATGGGTTGATATCAAGGTGTGTTTGTTATTTTATGTATATGTCTATGTGTTTATGTAGCTATGTATCTATGTATTTCAAGGGAATGAGATGAAATAATATGATGAATGAAAAACATGATTGAAAAACATCAATGGTGTGTGCGCGATGAGATGAGAGATGTGAGATGTGAGATGTGAGATGTGAGATATGAATGTGAGATGTGAATAAGAGATGTGGGATGTGGGTAGGTATAGGAGGTGGTAAATGGTAAATGATAATTAATATATACATACACAGAGAAAGAGAAATAAGAATGAATAAAATGGGAGTGAGAGAGAGAGAGAAAGAAAGAAAGAGAGAAGTTGGAATGAAATAAAATAAAATGAAATGAAGTGAGATAAAGTGAAGTGAGGTGAGGTGAGTGATTATCTAGTTATTAGATAGATAGATAGGTAGATAGGTAGATAGGTAAATAGATAAATAAATAGATAAATAAATAGATAAATAAATAGATAAATAAATAGATAAATAAATAGATAAATAAATAGATAAATAAATAGATAAATAAATAGATAAATAAATAGATAAATAAATAGATAAATAAATAGATAAATAAATAGATAAATAAATAGATAAATAAATAGATAAATAAATAGATAAATAAATAGATAAATAAATAAATAGATAAATAAATAAATAAATAGATAGATAGACTACAATTCCGGGGCGAGCCAGCTCGCCAGTGTTTCGGAGCGCCTAATATTATTCTTATTATTTCTTATTTCTTTTTAAAATAATAATAATAATATAATAATAATAATAATAATAATAATAATAATAATAATAATAATAATAATAATAATAATAATAATAATAATAATAATAATAATAATAATAATAATGATTATAAGATATATAATATTCGTATGATGTGCTATGATATGCTATGCTATACTTTGCTGTAATAGAGATATCATTTAAATATATATATATCATGAGAATCACGCAGTAAGAAGACAAGCAATGCAGCTACTACTCTATCCGACGAGGTGATTCATCACTGAGCTAGCTACTTCGTGTCCCCCATCTCCAATCTCCAATCCAGATTGTCCACCCTAATTTTTCTCCCACCCCCTTCCAGCCTCCTCAACCACCTCCCCCATTTTCCTAACCACTTCCTCCAACTCTCCCTGCACTCCCCCAATCACACCTCCATCCCCACCATAATACCAATCATACACCCCCTCTCCCCCTTTCAAATCCCTCTTCTCTTTCCACTCCTGTTCTATCCCCGTCGTCCACTCCCACCTAACCGAAATTTTAATCTTCTCCTTCACCATCTCACCAATTTTATTCGGAGCTTCTGGTCCCAAGATTGGAATCGACGAGACGTCGAAACAGATTTGTTTGACGCCTCCTTCATAAGGTGATCCTCCTGAGAAGATTTTGCGGAGGATATTGGGTTGGGTTGTTGGTTTCCAGGATTCTTCTCCTTCTTCGCTTGGTTTGGATGAAGAGGAGAAGATATGCGCGAGCCAACAGCTGACGGCCCAGAGGATGTAATTTTTGACATAATCCCACTCTGGTACTGTGTTGGGTGGTGGACAAATTTGGAGGAGAGGAGAAGTTTCTGGTGTTATGCGTAGATAGTAGATTGGTCGAGAGTAGTTGAGGGTAGTGGTTACAGTGCGGATTTGAAGGGACGAAGGCAATGGAGTGAGTGGAGTTGTGTGTGAAAATGATGATGGGATTGAGGAATGAGGTGGTGATGAAAGGGGAAAAGGGAAATTAATTGTGGTTAGAGATTCGAGTTGATTTGTTAAAGCTGTGAGTATTCGTTCGGGAGTTGAAAGATGTGGTAAAGGTGAAGAAGTACCCGGGATGATGGTATAGGTTGGTGGAGTTGGGAGGGAGGCGGAAGTAAGTGTCTTACAAAGCGGGGTGAGAAGTGAGTTAAGAGATGAAACGACCGTTTCGTGAGCGAGGCGAGTCACTAAAGAACGTAGAATAGGAAACGGGTTGTTTGGACGTGGTTGGCTAGAGATTGGTGGTGGTGGACGAGTCCGAATACGATATTGTTGGCGATGCGAGAGAGATAGAAGAAGGTGAAGGGTTAGATAGATGCCATTGGCAAGGTACGAATCTGGTCTTGGACCAAGAACTGGTCGGAAAGGATCAGTAGGTACTGTCTGAAGCTCGATTAAGATTCTTTTAGTCGGAGAAATTGGAAATCTGATTGTGTTCGTTTTGGAATCTGATTGGAGGCCATGAGATGCGAGAGTTCTAACTTCCCGAGTCATTTCTTGCCAAAGTTCAGAGGTAAAAATCGTGTTTCGTGCTTGAAGAATTAAATCTTGAATAGGTGCATCATGTGGTACTGCTTTAGGAAGTATGGTTTCTCCGGTTGTAACTCCATTGGTTTCGATCAAAACTCGTATACTTTGAGGCTCTGGACTTGCAATCCCTTGGTCCAAATATATTGACCCATCCGGATTCCGTCTAAGTGCACCGAGACTACGATTTCGAAATGTTGGAGAGGCTATAGTATGTTAGCATAGGTTAAGGTGGGAAAAGTTGAATGTACTGACCCTCTGAAAATCCAAATCTAACACCCAATGTGTGTTTTTCTTGAGGCAATCGACATACTGCCCATCCACTTTCACTCACAGCAAGGACTTGTTCCCAGTATTTAGTTTCTGCATCAATTTCTTTTTCTAATCGAGTGGCAGATGCCAAAATCGAATCTACTGTCTTGCTGAGATTTGATGCTTTCCAACCTTTGGCTATCTTTTTATTTTCTTGATTTTGTTCTTTGGTAAATCGTGGGGCTACGGTTTTATCCGCACCCAAGGTACCCATTCCAGCCAATTCACGAAGTGATGGTGATATTGATGTGCTAGCTTGTACGGGAGTATCTTTCGAAAGAAGGAGGGAAATGAAATCAAGAGATATCATAGCCGCATTGTGGGCATGTCTATAGACAAGTCAGTATTTGCGCATTGCTCTTGACAAAAGAGAACATACTCAATTTGACCAAGAATTTCGTCTCTTGCTGTGAGAAGTTCTTTCATTCGATCGGGTTCCTCCTCTGCTTCTCCATCCTCACTGGAACTCTCATTCTCCTCTTCATCTCCTCCAGCTTCGGCTTCCGCAATTTCTTGTCGCAGACTGTCTTCTGAAATATTGCGAAAACCACCTCGTTCGGCATTGATTCTTGCGATTAATTGAGGTAGTGGAATGGAGGTATTGGATGTATTTGGTGCTGGGCGCAATGAAAGTGGATGGTTACTTGGGAGAGTTGACATTGTGAGGGGCCGGATAGGATTCGAGAGATTGATTGGTTTGTGACAATGAGATTGAGATTACTATTAGTGATTCCGCGACGCCTTCCGTAGATTTGAAAGCTTCTAATAAGGCTTTGAAAGTCTCCTGAAATGTTCTACGGTTATTGATTTGGGATTGAGTATCAACAACAATCAAAATACTGCCCCGCTTAAAGAAAAGAAGATTCACCGCTTTATTATGTAGCAGGTCGCTCTGGAAGCTGTACGAGTACTGGAGTACTTGAGCACAAATATCCATCACGTGCCATTCATCCATCTATTGTGTATCTCTTCTGTATCTGTCGCAGTCTACCAATATTCAATAGATCTCATCAATTACATATATTACAATGTCAAATTGATATTCCATGATACTACTGTACTCTGAAGTGAGCATCCTTAGCATCTTCATCATGTCGATAGCATACTCGAATAGCATCGAGTAGCATCAACCTTCCACTTCAGATCTCTCCAATCAACTACTCGAATTATACATCCCGGCCGTCTTTCAAACCTCCCACCCATTGTCGTTGTTGGAAAGTTTTATCGCATGTGGGAGCTTGTTTCCTCTCCTTGTGATGTCAGAAGTATAGGATATAGTATAGCGCGCCCGAATTGAGTCCGACACTACGATGTACATATGGCTCAGGTACCAGAGATTCACCAATCACGATTGTTGATGCAGTATCCGCCTTGTAGAGTTTCCGCAAAAACATGACACAATGGGTATGAAAATGGACATGGAAACTTGAACTCAGGGTAGATGAAGGGAATGAATGGAATGAAAGGTATGAAGTGGGAGTGGCAGTCTGAGTGGCAGTCTGAGTAGCAGTGGGAGTGGCAGTCTGAGTAGCAGTCACCGACGATTGAGAGAAATGTTGACTGTTTGGTTGAGGTGTATATTGTAAGAGAATGAATGATAATTGCATAGGTACATATATGCATATATATCCTAGGTACAGACATACATGTATATACTCGTATATAAAGGTTACATATCGTAATACACATATACGTGATACATACATACCTAGGTACTATCATGATATATGGAAAGATTTGTGGAAAGATTTATGGCCTTACCTACACATCAAGAATCATTCTGTCCGCTCACATGACTTTTGAATTAATGTATATCTTCATCATGATTGGAATTTATACCTTTTACCAAGACTTTTGTCCATAATACCAAACGGATTTCTCCAATTTGATACCGATGCCGATGATACCAGTTCAGTCCAGTCAGTGCCAGTACCAATGCCAACCCGATAAGCAGAGCAGCCCACGGCCATCCATCCATCCATCCATCCATATCCATGTCCCCGCCCATGCGTCCCATCATCAACAAAGCCGATAAAGCTCCTCGTAAAAAATATTGACAAGGTCTCAGCCCACCAAAATACATGAAGGACCCATCTTATTTCAAACTGCCCTCTCAACTTTTCGTCATTCTTTAAAAGTAAGAGAATCTACTCGTACTAGTCGATACATTCTTCATACCTATCTCAAAACTTCATTCTTCCCTCTTCCCTCTTCGCTTTTTTCTCTCTTCTCTCATACTACTTTTTACTCGACTTGTCCATTATACCCAAGATTCCCTTTCTTACCTCCCACCTTACCTCAACCTGACCTCAACCTTATACCCCTCCATCCTATTTACCTCCAACAAAACAACGACTCAAAATCCATCATGGCTCCTCAACCCCCACCACCCCTCGAGGGAAAGAAAAGACGTATCGCTATCATGACCAGTGGAGGTGATTCTCCCGGTATGAATGGTGTTGTGCGAGCTTGCGTTCGAATGGCAATTTATAAAGGATGTGAACCATATTGCATCTACGAAGGATACGAAGGGTTAGTTCAAGGAGGGAAATTGATCAAAAAGATGGGCTGGGAAGATGTTCGTGGATGGCAATCAGAAGGAGGTACTCTTATTGGTACTGCCAGATGTATGGCTTTCTACGAACGACCCGGCAGATTACAAGCAGCAAAGAATATGGTGTTGAATGGAATTGATGCTCTCATCATTTGTGGAGGTGACGGCTCCCTGACTGGAGCTGATAAATTCAGAGCGGAATGGCCTGGGTTGATCAAGGAATTGATTGAAAAGAAGGAATTATCGGAACAACAAGTTGCACCATTCAAACATCTCAACATCGTTGGATTGGTTGGTTCCATTGATAATGATATGTCTGGTACCGATGCTACAATTGGTTGCTTTTCAGCTCTTGGCAAGATTTGCGAGATGGTGGATTATATTGAACAAACTGCTTCATCACATTCAAGAGCTTTCGTTATTGAAGTTATGGGTAGACATTGTGGTTGGTTAGCTTTGATGGCTGGTGTTGCTACTGGTGCAGATTTTGTTTTCATTCCAGAAAAACCAAGAGCAGACAATTGGAAAGAAGAGATGCACATGGTCATTCAGAAGGTGTGATTATTATATTTTTTTCACAAGTTTTGATCATACTAACAATTACACAGCATAGACAATTGGGAAAGAGAAAGACAATTGTTATTGTTGCTGAAGGTGCTCATGATCAAGGAGGAAATAAGATTTCTCCAGAAATGATCAAGGATCTTCTTGCAGACAAGAATGGACTCGCTCTCGATACACGTATTTCAACATTGGGTCATGTTCAACGTGGTGGTTCTGCATGTGCTTATGATCGATACCTTTCCACTTTACAAGGTATCGAAGCAGTTAATGCTGTTCTTGATGCTACGCCAGAAACGGTTACCCCTTTTATCGCCATTAACGAGAACAAAATTACAAGAAAACCACTTGTTCAATCAGTTATTGATACTCAAGAAGTCGCAAAGGCTATTGAAGCAAAAGATTTCGAAAGAGCTATGGCACTCAGAGATACAGAATTTTCTGACTTTTACGATTCCTACATGACTACAACAGCCACTGATCTCAACAATGAAATGCGTCTTCCTGATAAGAAGGTATGTGATGATAAAAATTCTGTTTCCTCCAATACTAACATCATCTAGCACATGAGAATTGCTATCGTACATGTTGGAGCCCCAGCTGGTGGTGTTAACGCTGCTACACGTGCAGCTGTTGCTTATTGCTTAACCCGTGGACATACACCAATTGCAATTCATAATGGTTTCGCTGGATTTGCCCGTCATCACCAAGATAACCCCGGATCAGTTCGAGAATTTGATTGGTTAGAAGTTGATGGATGGGCTAGTAAGGGTGGTTCAGAAATTGGTATGAACCGTGAACTTCCATCAGAATCTGGAATGCCATTGATCGCATCACTTTTTGAGAAATTCAAGATTGATGGTCTTCTCATCATTGGAGGTTTCGAAGGTTTCCATGCCTTATCCGAACTTCGTCAAGCAAGAGAAACTTATTCTTCTCTTTGCATTCCTATGACTTTACTTCCAGCCACTATTTCCAACAACGTTCCAGGAACAGAATATTCAATTGGTTCGGATACCTGTTTGAACGAACTTGTTCGTTATTGCGATACCATTAAACAATCCGCTTCAGCTTCCCGTCGTCGTGTTTTCGTTATTGAAACTCAAGGTGGTCGATCTGGTTATGTTGCTACCATGGCTGGTCTCGCTGTTGGTGCATCAGCTGTCTATACTCCTGAAGAAGGTGTCAGTATTGGTATGCTCGCAGCAGATATCGCACATCTCAAGGAAGTTTTCGAGAAAGACAGTGGCCAATCAAGAGCTGGACGTCTTATCCTCATCAACGAAAAGGCATCAAAGGTTTACCACGCCAAACTTATCGCTGATATGATCCGTGAAGAAGCTGCCGATCGTTTCGAATCCAGAGATAGTATTCCAGGTCACGTTCAACAAGGTGGTACTCCATCCCCTATGGATCGTACCCGAGCCGTTCGCTTAGCTATCAAGTGTATTGAGCATCTCGAACAATATGAAGATAGAACCGATAAAAAGATTATCGAGGATAAACAAAGTTCAACGGTTATTGGTATCAAGGGTGCACAAGTTGTATTCTCTAGTATGGTTGATGTCGAAGAAAATGAAACAGATTGGGCAAATAGAAGACCAAAGGCCGAATTTTGGTTGGATTTGAAGGGATTTGTGGATATTCTTGCCGGTAGACCAGATGTTCCTAGACCGGAACGTAAATTAAAGGGATGGAAGGCGAAGGATAGTAAGAGGGGTTTGATTTGAGAGGGTGGAGATTGAACGAGAAGGGGAGATATTTTTATGTGGGATGCATTGACTTGTATGACGGAAGTGGAGAGGATGGAACCAAAAAAAAAATGAAATGAGAGATGAGAGATGGGGAATGGATGAACTGGAAATGAAACCAAAGAATGAATTGACGGAATTGATGGGATGGGATATAAACGTTTTGACGGGGATAAACGAATGATTGAATGAATGAATTGAGATGAGATGATGCATGGAAAGGGGGAAGAAACGAAGAACGAAACATAAATAGCTTGGAGTAGTTAGTTTTCAATATTGATATCAATGAGATGGATGGTGACTTTATAACTTGATGACTTGATACAGTATGGTGTTTCAATATTAGAACATCATTTTGTCACTATCTATTTCAGGTACTAGGTATCTAATCAATAATATACCCCTTAAGTTAATATCCAAGCGAGTATCCATTCATTCATTCCTTCCCGAGATCATTATATCATATCTATCATTACATCATCCATCTCTCTTCTTATGGATTTCCCTCTCTCCTGCTTGCTCACCACGCTTAAAAGACTCTTTCTTGGATACGCTACTCGCTGTGTTCGATATAGCATTCTGTACTTATATTTTCCCTCCCACTATACCGCATCCACAGCATCATTCGCAGTATCATGCGATCTAATCTATCTCGCTCGTGTTTGTATCTCCTAGGCGCGAGAGGCGTGGTGAGCGCAGGTTTCACAGGGGGGTGAGAGTGAGAAATTATCTTTTTCGTGAGATTGAGGGGTGTTGGGGGTGGAGGTGGAGGTGGAGGTGGAGGTGAGGTGTGTATTTTCTTTGCTTTTGGGTAATGAGAGGGAGTCGTGTGGATCTTCGATCTCGGTTTCGGTTTCGTCTGATTCGGAAGTTGAGCCTGAGCCTGAGCCTGAGCCTGAGCTTGAGATGGAGATTCGGAGTTGGAAATTAGAAGTCGAGGTGGTTTTGAATTGAGGAGCGGGCAGTAGATTTGCGGAGATGTTTAGAATTTGCAATTTTGTAAAGTGCGAGAGGTGGGTGAGGATGGAATGGTATTCTTCGCTCTCGTTGTCGTAATTGTCATGTGGTTGTTGATGATACTCATTTCCTTCTCTTTCTTCATCATCTTCTTCCTCCTCGCTTCTATCGTGAATCTCTGCAGATGATGATGATGATGATGATTCAGAAACGTGAAGTCTCAAAACTTCGAGAATGTCTCTCAAATGTGTGATCGAATGCAGAAAATGATTTAAATCGAATGAAAATTCCAATCCTTCTCTTTCCCCGATTTGAGTATCGTAATCCCATTCCCATTGTAAAGATTTGAGGAATTTGAAGTAGCTGAAAAATGGGATCAAGGAATCCTGTCGAAGAACCGTGTGAGAGAGGTGGAGATGAGTGATGTGGAAGGTGAAATTGGGAAGGGGAGGAGAGTAAAAGGTTGAGAGTGTGAAGGGTGTTATTGGAGATGGGTTTAGCGCGTGTTGAGTAGGGGAAGAAGAAGAAAGAGAAGATGGCAAAACGGAGAATGGAAAATTATAATCCGAAAGCATGTGTGTATCGACTTCTCGTATTGAGGGAATGGCTAAAAAAGGGAGGGCACGCAGAATCTCAAATCCCATGCGGGGATAATGTATAGTATCGTGTTTTGCCAAATGCAAAGACCGTAAATACGGGAATGAATATGCTTGTGGCTGAACTATGCGGGTGGGATCGCGAAGTCGTTGATTTTGTAAAGTTGTCGCTCGGTTCAGCACGGTTTCGAGATAGGGATATCCGTAAGGACAACCGCTCGCGTGGTTGATTATATTGAGAGATTGGAGATTAGGGAGGAGACAGAGGATGAATGCGACGATGGCATCCCAGTTTCCTTGTAGGATAAAATTGTACCATTGTGAGGTGATGTGGGAGCCAAAGAATGGGGAGCGTGAGCCGTCTTCTAGGGTGTAGATGGATTTGAGACGGGATTTCAGGAGGACAAGGTCGGAGGGGGAGAAATTGGAGATGGAGATGTCGGTTTTGTAGCCTAGGAGGGCGTTGCAAGTGAAGGTTTTAGTGTAGAGTGCGTAGTGGGGATTATGGAGAATGGTGTGCAGGAAATGGGGGAGGGAAGTACATGTATCGCCGAGGTGGAGGAAGTGCGAGTACAGGTAGGGAGTGATGTAGTGGTGGAATTGGCGGGAGCAGAGGGAAAGAGCGGAGAGTGCTTGTGAAGATGGTATTAGACGGAAGAGAGTGAGGAGGATATCTGTGGGTAGGTGAGTGATTGGGAAGTTTGAATTGGTGGTTGGTTTGGAAATGGGAGAAGGGCGCGGTTCAATTGGAAGATTAGCGGATTGAATTGAGGCAGTCATTTTTGATGAGACCTGAAGATATCTAATGAAAATATAAAATGAAAACTCAACTCCAAATTGTGTAGTATTCAATGGAGAAACCAAAAACGCATGGAGTATCGAAGACACCGACTCTCATCTAAATACAAGCTCTCAAGATCCAAGCCCCCATTGTTAGACCATAAATCATGACCGTTTAGGGCTTCAAATATGGAGAGTACTTCTCCATGTTTTAGAACTTGTAGATTATCAGAGAAACCGCAGCAATCACATCAATTACTACTAAGCATTGATGCAGAAGATGAGATGAAGATTCACCTGGTGATCTGTGTCAAGCTGGTAAAGGAGCACGGCCATAGTAAGCAATTTGATGTAACCGCGCGGTACGAGATAATTCGAGCAATCCTGATGATAAGATGGATGGGTAGAGAGGCATTATCTTGAAGATTTGTATCAACACTCTTACGATGTTGTTTTGGAGCCGACCAAGTTCATCAAAACTTGAGGACCTGAGTTCAATGAAGAGATGAAAGTAAATGCGGAAAATTCGTGAAGAAGATCAAAGGTAGAATGAGAGCAGGGGCCAGTCACTTGTTAGTCATCATCGGATAAACTTCGCTACGTGAGTTAATCCGGCGTCCAGAAATTATTGCCGTTGGTACAATGACCGTCCCATTCGGCGTCACAATGATGTTCCTTCATCCTTCTGCAACGACTTCATCACCAATATTGAAATTCATATCCTTCAGGACTGATGGTCGGATACAATCCTTACAATTCACAAGAAATACTATTCGTGATCCAGAGATCTAGAAGTCCACGAGCTCGGGAGAATTGCCCTTGCTCCTTTGGTGGCACCGTTGGCTCAATGGCAAGTGCCATCTTGGTTGTTTTCAATAACTCACTTTGAGGCTCTCCCCTGAGTAAGATCAATTTACTCTCCCACTTGGCATATCCCAGCTTGTCAATATCTCTTGTTCTGGGGGTAATCACTTTAATCGTACCTGCATTGATCGACCGAAACCTAGCGAAGCCTTACAAGGCAATGAAGGTGACGGCTGACTACTTCAAATTATTCTATGCTTTACACATCGTATGTTTCTTGACTCATCTCCTCATTCTCTAAATTTGGATAATTGTTGCACAAAAAAGCATTTTGTGAAACCTTACCATTCATTGCCAAGAATATGGCTGTTGAGCTGAAAAGATGCACATGATCGGCTTGCCTACAATCATACTTCGGTAAGGAGAAGCAGGATTTTGGGGGCGTAAACGATTCAGAACTTATGCAGGTACGATGTTGATATCCGACCTGTCACACAGAAATTTCAAACCCTCAATGTTATTATCGACTGTTCTATTGTTCAGTTAGTTCATAGTAAATCAGCCCTCTATTATATTAGGAGCTACTACCTTAAGCCAAGAATATCATGCGGAGAAGTGAGAAGAAGGTATTGTGATTTTCTTGCGTATATATTGTGTCCTTTTCAGTCCTTCTATTCCCCTTTCTCATCTTTTTACTATCGTCACTCGTTTCTTCTTTAGTCACTCTTTAATAAACACTCGTTTTTGAACGTTGTCGCACATAGTTTCCCTTGATATATTCCAACTATCTACCCCTTACCATAATGAAGCTATCCACCGGTGGTCTATTGGCCAGTCTGACAGCTTCTGTTCTTGCAGAAGATCTACTTTTTGTAGATAAATTCGAGTTCAAAGAGTTTGCGGAGGCAACATCTGTCCTTGGATACACTACAAAGGTGGTCAGTGAAGCACAATGGAAAACAATGACAACAGCCGAGTTTGCTGCTTTCAAAGCCATTGTCATTGCCGATCCAGATTGTTCAACATCACCCAGTGATGTTCAATTCTTGACTGATACCAAGAATACCTGGGGACCAGCAGTCCAAGGGAACATTGTCGTTATCGGTAAGAACAAAAAATCAAGCTCTATTGAATTTATGACTACTCTACTAACTCAAATATAAGGCACGGATCCTACTTTTCACTTTTCAGCCCAACCTGGTGCCAAAGTTCTGATTGATAACTCCATCAAATTTGCAGCATCTGCGAAAAGTCTCGCTGGCACCCAGCAGACTGGTCTCTATTACGCGTTGTCTTGTTATTATAACAACGTGGATTCTGCGAAAGTAGAATCACTCTCATACTTCGGAGACTTCACTGTTCGAGGAAACCTTGCTTGCTACAACAAAGCTCACATTGTTGCATCCTCACCTGCTCTTGGAACTCTTAATGATGCTGCACTATCTAGTTGGTCTTGTAGTGTCCATGAAGCCTTCTCCAGCTATCCATCTGTTGGAATCAATGGATTCCAAGCTCTTGCTATTGCTCAAGATGTCATTGGTGTCGGATCGCAAACTTTCGGTGACAAGACAATTGGACTACCATATATCATCAGTCGTGGTGCGACCCCAGCTGGATGTGGTGATGGAAAATGGGAAGCTTCATTAAACGAAGAGTGTGATGATGGAAACACTGTTGCTGGTGATGGGTGCTCTGCAAGTTGCAAATGTGAATCCGGTCGCCCAACTGGTGATGGACATTGTCTTCCAGCTTTGACACCAAACACAACAACTCCCGTCCATACTCCATCGCATTCTGCCACTCTTCCACCATATATTCCATCGGGGTCTGGTGGAGTTCCTGTCCCATATGGCAACAAAACTATCATTTCAACCATTGATCATAACAGGACAGTCACTGCTACTATTCATGACACCGTTACAGATCATGATACCAAGACTGTTCATGACATTTCAACAGTTACCACGTAAGTTATTTTTTGGCGGTGGATAGTTCTGTACTAACTTGTCCCTAGAACTTTCATTCCTCCTCCATACGTAACTCCTGCATGCCCAACTGGAAACAAGATAGTTGGTGTTGAAATTGTTGTTTATGTGTCCATCATTGAATCATGTCATACTATTGGAGATAAAACTGGTTCGTAACCCTATTCTCTTTCGCTCAGATCATCACTGACATATCAAAAAGTTACTTCATATATTACAAGTGATTGCTCCACTGAACAGAAACCAATTTGGAGTACATCAACTGTAGGATATCCTTGCTACGCATGTGCCCTATCTAGTGCCGGTGTTCCCTGCCCAACTGGAGGCTTTATCACAGCCACTACAACGTCATGCCATGAAACCGCAATCCCAACTTCGTACACTTGGACTCCAGTTCCGCCGACAATTCTACCATGCAAGACTTGTCTTCCATACACCATGCCAACATGTCCAGTATATAGTACACTTCCACCATCTTCCGTCTACGTTGTTCCAGTTCCAACTCTCGGAACTCACTCCGAACCAGTTAGCCGTGTCCCCGAGACTTCTATATATGTACCTGCTCCATCTCCAGTTACATACACTACCTCTATATACGGATTAGGGGTCACAACTTATATAACTTACCCAGCCGGTCCAACAGCAACTGCAATTGTTTCAGAAGTCGAAGGTACCCCTACTACAATCATCACGTATGTTTCTCCGACACCAGCTCCATCATACGCCGCAACCATAGTACCTGTCTGCCCACCTGGCGGGTGTAAACCAGCGACTTCTACGGTTGTTCCAGTGGGTCCTGTTGGAACGACTTCATTCTTAGGTTCCCCCACTTATGTACCATTCACAGGGGCAGCTGCCCGTATTGTCAGTGCCAATATGGCTATGATGGTCGGTGCTGTAGGTGGTATTTTTGGATTGATGATTGTTTTGTAGATTGAGTAGTTGAAGGATGTGAAGTGGGATTTAGGATTATTAACGTTATGAACGGATTGGATAGGAAGGCGTCTGATAATTTTGGATGGACCAAGAAGGTATATGGCATGAAGAGAAGCAAAATTACCTTGTGAAAAGAATCTTTGGGGAGAGACGTATTTATTCATTTCGTACTACTTGCGAAGGTTTTCCGCTTTCTACTTCTCAAGAAGAGAGGAAGACATGGGGGCCATTGCAATCGGTTTATTCTTTTCTATGGTCGATTTTTGATTTTGGTGTATTGAATGGATTGGTAATATATGCACGCACATCATTCATCAATTGAACGGTGGGGTGTTAAGATGTGTATGGAAATGTACTTGAATGTTTTCATTGTACTATCTCTTTCTTGTTGATTCATTGCTTGATTCGTTTGAAGTGGTTGTGCCTTCTGATCTATGTGTACACGTTTAAATTGTCAATCTCTCGAAATGCCGTTATAGTACATCTGATTATACGGGTCAAAATTTTCGGAATCTTGTAAAAGAATTTTACATGATTCTACATATGCTTTCTTTTGCTAAAGAAGTATGACCTTACCTTGTATCTTCGTATCTTGATCCAAGTCAACAGTGTATTAGGATACTGAAACTCGAGATCATAATTCTCCTAATATTCGATCGCACTTTTCCTTTTCCGTTGTCCGTCCTAAGCGGGGCGGGGTTGTAGCGGAGCGGCACTATTGGGTGAACAAACCTCGGTAAAGTCTCGAGGTATAATTTGTTACAGATTCACGTTTTTCTCCTTCCATTACACTTTAGTATCTAAAGATTGTATTCAAACCTACCTTCAATCCCAATCAAGTATCTCTTTGCTTTCATCGAATGGTATAGACATTGTGTTGAAGTCTAAAACCCAACTGAGTTCAATTGAAATTTTCGTAACACAATTTCATTATTGTGCTACAACGCGGGTCATGGAATTGGACTCCTTATTCACAATCTTCCCCGGAAAACATCTATGGATCTTCGGCGCCATAGCTCTGAATCTGATCCGAATCCCTTTCTGGCTTATCTACTATGTTCCCTCCGTTACCCGACCCTCGCCAAAATGGACCTACACCCAAGCCCTCCGTATCCGTATCATAAAAGCTTTCGTCAAATCCGTCTCAATCACCAAATCAGCTACCATCATTAATCTCCTTCCGGGTGCCGAGGGATCACGATTTTTAACCATCCATCCTGCTTCATCATCCCGTTACCAAGGGGTCACTATAACGAATTCTGAAATCAAACCAGAAATTATCGGTGGCACGTGGTATCCACACCAACCATCTTCTGGAAAAGACGCTGGAGATGTAGTTCTTCACTTTCATGGAGGAGCATATGTAGTTGGAGATGGACGAACGCAAGACGCTGGATTTTGCGCAGAGACTTTAATTGCTAATAGCTCTGCTTCTTTTGTATTTTGTCCTCAATACAGACTTGCATCAAGTCCGGGTGGGAGATTTCCAGCAGCGCTGCAGGATGCGATTACGAGTTTCTCTTACTTGACCGAGACAATGGGAATCAAGGCAGAGAATATCGTTGTCTCGGGGGATAGCGCGGGAGGAAATCTGACAATGGCATTATTGAGATATCTACATGATAACCCAAACGTGGGTCTATCAAATCCAGGATGTGCATGGTTATGGTCTCCCTGGGTCGATCCGGTTTCTACGATTATCGAAGGAATCTTCCATGCTTCTCCATACTCTCGTACTGATTATCTTCACGAGGGATTTGGAATCTGGGGAGCAAGGGGCTTGACACCACTTGAGGGAACGGGAGTAGAATTATCTCATCCGAATATTTCGTTTGTGGGGAATCCGTTCAAGATTTCCACCCCATTGTTTTTTAGTACAGGAGAGTGTGAAGTACTGTTTGATGATGTGGTGAAGGTTCATAATCAGTTCGTGGAAGCGGGGAATAAGACGGAATTGCAGATTGAAGAAGGGGCGGTGCATGATATTATTTTGATTGGGAATCTTTTAGGCTTTAAGGAAGAGGCGAGGTTGGCGGCGAAGAGGGCAGGTGAATTTTGGGAGAGAAATAGATAGACGGGGTAGAGTGATAGATATAACGTGGTCTATTGATATGAATCAAGAGATAGGTAACCATAGAATTTTATTCGTCGCTTGCGTCTGAAACGTCTAATATGCCTAATTTGAATACAACTTCCTGCGCTAACGATCATGCACCAGATCTTCTACGTATCTCTTCTCTTAATGCATCGATATAACTCTCCAATTCTTCAGTCGTGTGCTGTGTTTTTCCAGTACGCTCTTCAACTTTGTCTGACATCGCGAGAGACAACTGCCCTGCTGTGATCTGGGTTTGAAACCGTGCAAGATCTCTCGTTTCCAGGCACAAGTTTCTCGATTTGCGCGCGAGATCCCGCATCTCTTTCATCAGCTCATACGTCCCCCTGGTGAGCTCCTTTATATCTTTCATGACTTCGTAGATGTCGGATGATGGGCGAAGATCAGATGTTGCTGCTACTGCGGGAGAATGAGTTTGGATTTGAGCTGGATCATGAGCTTGGAAGCTCACCGGCTCATTTGTCCCTCTAGAAAACTCCCTGATATCTTTCATAACTTCATAGACGTCGGATGATGAGGGAAGAGCAGATGTTGCTGCTACTGCGGGAGAATAAGTTTGGATTTGAGCCGAATCGTGTTTGAGCCTGAGCTTGGAATGAAACTGGTAGAGCAAGAATAGAAGCTGAGGAATGCATTGCGCTGAGTGGGTAATAAGTTGTATTAATCTAAAAGGAGTGATGAGGGGAATGCTCCCTTTTATACCCACTTATTACTAATCTACAGGCAAGTGCCCCCTTTGAGCTTCACCTTCCTTCTGAATAACTACAGAAACAGTGACAACCCAAGCGATAACCTCCATCCAAAGTGGCAACAGAGGAAGGTGCTAGTCTAAAGAGGCATATGATGTATGATAAGTTCGACGCCAGAGCCCTAAGGGGTATAGCTGGTCCAATGGTAACCAGATCCATTTACCGTTGGCCAAATAGATCAATTGTCTCATTTTTCGTTTTTCGACTTTTCGACTTTTTTACTTTTGTACTTTTTTTATTCTTTTTGAAACTTTTAAATGTTAATATTTATTTAATTTATTATATAATATAAATATTATTAAGATTTATTAAAATCATTAGAAAAAGATTATTTTGATTATAAAAAAATTCGATTTTTTTTTATAGAAAATTTAGAAAATCTAAAAGATTTAAAAAATTTAAAAGATTCAAAAGATTCAAAAGATTTAAAACATTATTAAAAAAAATTTAAAAAAAAATACAAAAAAAATATAAAAATATAAAAATATAAAAAAATATAAAAAAATAAAAATATAAAAAATAAAAATATAAAAAAATAAAAACATAAGAATGAAATAATTAAGAGTAAAATAAGTCATTTATATATATCTCTTTTTTAATAATAATTTCATTATATTAAATATAATCTTTTTCTATTCAATTATATAAATCTTAATAATATTTAAATTATTAAATAAATTAAATAAATATTAATATTAAAAAAAAAGTCGAAAAATAAAAATGAGACAATTGCGAACGGTATTCATTATAATAAAATACGCTTTCCTTTATACTACTAATATAATATCACGAAGTTACTATAAAAGAGTAGAAGGTAGTAGGGTTATAAAGTAGTCCTTTGTAAATACTATAGAGAAATTATTGAGATGTAATACCTTTAATGGAGAAGAGGAGGGGGAGGCTCTATATAGTGCTTTGTAAAGTATATAAGAAAGTGAATAGGAATTAATTGCTTTTTCTAAACTATATAAAAAAGACCTATAAATACTAGCTATAAAAAAGAGGCTATGTGACCCGTACTAAGTTTCGCTTACGTTATCCCCTAGACTATCACTCCATGACACCTTCGCTTAACAGGGATCTAATTGACCAATCAGATCATCAGGATTTTGAGAATTCTTATTATTCTGACACGTTTTTTTATAATAATGATTCAACACTTATAATTTTAATAAAAACAAATAATACATTTTTAAAATCTTTATATAATCTTTTATTTATTTTTTCTTTTTTTAATAAATATTGAATTTTTGATTTGATAGATATTTTTTAATATAAATCGTATAAAAATCGTATAAAAATCGCCTACAAATTCCTCTTATTTTCAAAGGTGAAATATAATAATATTTATAAAATCTTGAAATCATTATTCCACAATTAAAAAACTATAGAGATATAATTGATATATTTAATATGATTTTTTCAATAAATTCTGATCTTTAAATATAATATCAAAACTTTTATATATAATATTATTTATAGGGTTATTGATATTCTTGCTCAGTACACAGACCACAAAGGTGTCATGGAGTGACAGTCTAGGGGATAGGAAGTCTAAAGATAGTCTTGTATAATCTAAATGTAATCATATATAAAAACTTTAATGATTAAAATAGGAATTGAGTTTCTAGTCTGAAATAAGAATAATAATATGACGCAAATGTATCTCGTTGGAGAGATTTCAAGCTAGACTAAATATCTAGCTTCGGACTAAAATAGCTTGAATATAATAGCCCTAGGTATATAAACTTGGATTCCCCACGAGACTCAGATCTTTGTTTGAGATTCTCTTGTCAAAAATCGCATTTGTATACCTTATAGTTTAAAATATATATTCAAATAAACTAATTTTGACCTCTGGGCAATTTATCTTGTTCTTTTAAAATTTACTCTGTTCTGGTTCTCGAAATCGACGTTCTCTTTCAGTATTTAAGATATAAAAATATGATTTCTAGATTGATATCATATAAGTCGGGTACTCTACTTTCGGGCCACCCCCCTTTTGGGCCACTTTTTATACCCAAAATACACTAAAAATGGAATTTATAACTTTCTTATTTATAAATAGAATTTAATGAAAATTTATACATATATAATTTAGATCGATTTAAACTTAGTCTGAAATTTTCAGATTTTTAGGATTTTTCTGTATTGAGATCTAGAGCTTCAAAATATCGATTTTCAAATTTGTATAGGAATCACATATAAATTTAAACTTTTTATAAAATCTTTGATAACTTTCTAATAAAAATTGCTAAAAATAAACTATAAAATTTTACTATAAATTTATAGTATATTCAATATAAGAGATTCAGAAAAAATGAAAAATTTCTTATAAATAAATATTTATAAGGGTACCCTCAAAATGACAGGGATTATTTATACTACTCTAAACTCACTGTATACTATATCTCTATATCTGTTAATTTTTTTGAATTTTTTTTTGAATTTCTATATAGATTCAAGCTTAAATATCTTAAAAATATATATAGTTTTCTTTTAATTAATATTATTAAAAAGTTATGAAAGATTTAATAAAAAACTTAAATTTATATGTGATTTCTATACAAATTTAAAAATCGATATTTTGAAACTCTAACTCTTAATACAGAAAAATCCTAAAAATCTAAAAATTTCAGAATAATCTTAAATCGATCTAAATTATATATATACAAATTTTCATTGAATTATATTGAATATTGATAGAGATATTAATAGACCTAAAAAGTGATTTTTGGTGTAAAAGGGTGGCCCAAAAGGGGGGTGGCCCGAAAGTAGGGTACCCGACTTATACGTTCTATAACATGTGGATATAGAAGACTGAATGGAGATGATTTGAATAATATTGAAAAGTCTACCGAAAAGACATCTCTGATTGTCAAGACATCTGCAACACCGAACCATTCAGGGGATCATTCGGATGATAAGAGTAAAGAAATTGGGAAGGCACATCCAACTATTGAGATCTCGGAATATTTTAATGTAGATCTTTCACTTCAAGGACGTACAAATCAGAGCGACACAGTCTTTATTGATCCAGCAATCAAGAAACAGATTGACGAATCCTACGATACAATCGATTGTACTTCGGAAACATCCAGTAACGCCTCACAGCTCCTTCCCTCTGAACAGCATCCCAAAGTTTCAACTTTCCTTGAATTAATGTTCAAACCAACTCAAAAAGGAATGCATAATACATACGAAATGGAGAACGAACAAAATAATCGAGTTCGATATAATTCGGAAACATATATTTCAACCCCGTCCTTGAATTCCTTCCCTAGATCACCTGAAGCAATTCAATCCTCAGTAAATTCTCTTGGAACAGGGGATAAGAGACACAATCGAGCTTAACGTTTTTCGGAATCTTTCTCGGGAAGATCAAGTTTCTTGAAAGCAACACTCGGAGGAGCTATGGCAGCAGCGGACACTCTTGCTGAGAAAATAGAGAATGAGAAAAAACAGTCAAATTATCCACTAGAGCACCAAAATGGGCCCCAAAACTAGCATTAGCGTTTTCCCTGAACGACAAAGTCTGATTGCTCGAGAGTGATCAAATATTCCTGAATTTTAATAGGATCAATGGTCAATGAGGTTTCTGTTAAGCGACAGAGTCCATTTTCGTATCTTAGGGGATAGGCTGCTGCTCGGGAGATGTGACCTCGAAAGTTTCGTACGAGTTGTTGGAATGTTGATTTGAAGATGAGAGAATTCAAAGAATAGGGGCGTTACATGGACATTCTACAACGGAGGAAAGACAGAGCCAATCATGGTGCTTGATGATATATTGGAAGTGAAGAATTGTGTCAATCAAGAAGAGAAAGATGAAAGCAGCAATTAGTCGAGATCAAGGTAGTAGGTAAAATATAAAATATACAAAACAATATGCGAGAATCAGAATGAAAAGACATGACACTGTTTGGAAACGTAGTGGACAATGTATGCTATAGAATAATGCTTTCATAATCCCTGTTAAATTTCCTAAGCAAATAACAGCAGCCCCTCGAGAAATCAAAACAGTGTCGATGTCAACGCAGGAACATTATCGACCAAGTAAAATGATACGCATGCAGTCCCAGATAGGTGAAACGGCATATTAGTAATTGTCTGGACCCATAGTCAACGCCATCCCAAGACGTCTATTGGCATTTAAAACAGATGTCAACAGAGAGATTTTTTTGCTTTCAGATGAATTCGTTTGTGCAGTGCGACTGATACAATTGAAGGCTATGCTACGCTTTAATACCACTGGACCAGCGATAAGATTGAAGCTCCGAGTATATTGGAGTTTCTCTATTGTTGGGTCGTACCTACCCTGAATAGGATTCTCATAGAGAGCTACGAGAATTGTGTATCAGGTTTGAATGTAATAGCTAATCCGGTAATTCTACACAACATCTATGCTGCAAGGAGACACGAAGTCTTGACATTCAATCCAAACTGCCGTCATTTAAGCTATACTCACACATGTTTTGTTGCTTAATTTTGCACCGTTGAGGCTAGATGCACTCAGCAGATTCAAAAAACATCCCCTCATGCCCATTGCAGCACTAGGGTCCAAGATACGACGATGTCATCATTGATAGAACGAACAGGAACGTGTACTCTGTACACAGAGTTGAAACCAAACTTTTGGCTGTACCAAAACTTCGTCGAGTCGAATTGAAATAAATGTGCAAATACAATCGTTACGAAGTAGGGTGCTCCAGATGGAATAAATTTGCGAATCATGCTTGGAAAGAGC